ATTGACCGCCGTCCAGTGACTCGTAATGCTCTTCAAGCCCATGAGGACAAGGTCTTTTGTAATCGGTGCTTCGCTGAGCGTCATGCTGAAGTAGCATATCGCTATGCGGACGCTATCGGCGATTTAAAGCACGTCGTGCGCCGGTTGCTTCGCCTTGAGGACTGTCAGAGTGACTCCTAGCCGTGGTGCAGGCGAATGCATCACTGCAGGCAACGGTGAAGCGCTTGGCTTTATTAGAAATGGAGGTTGTTGTACTCCGTGCTCAGAACCAGTTGCTGGTTCAATTTCTGGGTGGCCACGGGCCCGTGGAATCCACTCCGGCGCCAACGCTTCCGCGTTCACTTGCGTCGGATCTCGGTACGGCTTGAGCAAGCGCACGTAAAACACCGGGTGGGTCCGCATCCCTTTTGGAAGGTTTAGCGTGTACGCCAGGCCCCGCTTGGCCACAATCTTAAACGGTCCAATACACCGTGGACGAAGCTTCGCCAGGAAGACAACAGAGACTGCATGTGTAGGCAGTTTCTTAGAATTTAATTTAACATGGTCTCCGACCTTAAAGCTTTCCACTTTTCCTCTTCCCTTTTCATCTGCACATTTTATTTGCAGGTCTTGGCTTCCAGCCATCGCATCGCGAACGTATCGCGGACACTCAGTCTGGTAGACAGGAAGTCATCGACTTCTTTACGGATGGTGAGAGGGTGACGTCAGCTAGCCGTTCGGCTATTCTTCCCCCACCAAGCCCTGAGCCATGGGACGGCGGCGTCAGTGAGTCGCGAGGTTGAACCAGCCCGTTCACGTAAAACGGCGTGTAGCCGGTTGACGAATGCACAGCATTGTTTGATGCAAACTCTAGGAGTGGCAACATGGCGCTCCAGCGCCTCGGCTTTATAGCGCAGACGCTGCGAAGAACATCTTCGATGACACGATTCACCCTTTCGTTTTGACCATCGGTCTGCGGATGATCCGCTATCGACATATTCAACTTGGTGCCGAGCACCTTGGAGATAGTCGACCAAAATTTTCCCGTGAAGCGGGGTCCTCTATCAGAGAGAATCGACTCTGGGAGTCCGTGTTGACGGAAAATACGATCCCAGAACAGCGTCTCTGTACCGACTCCGTCGATGGTGCCTGGTACCACCGCCAAATGAGCCAGCTTGCTCAACCGGTCGACGAATACCACGACACCCGTGTTGCCCGCCGAATCTTTCGGCAGGCCAAACACAAAGTTTAAACTCATGGACTGCCAGCATCCAGTGGGTACCGGTAAGCTGTCCAGCGGCGCAGTCGCATTTGGAGAGGGTTTCACCCGTTGACACGTCTCACACGTGCG